GTTACATTGTACAGTGACATAATGTGCACCTCTGCCTACCCCTTTGGGGATAAAAGGTGTGATGTTGTTATGGTAATCTATCTAAAAATTATACTTTCACATAAATAATACTTACTAGAAATGTATTAACAAAATGATAGTAAATATGATACAGTATTAGTTACAGATTCAAATATCGCTAAAGTTAGGAATTGATACACATACCAACATAAAACTCAGGTATATCAATCTGATTGCGCCTTTTCAGCATGTCACTTCTTTCCAACTTCTCGCGCAGACTGTTCCTCCATTTTGGGTTGGGGTCAGGCAGAAATTCTGGGTATGCATGTCGCAAGCCCAAGTTTGGATTTCTTGCACTAATCCGAACTCGAGATGTCGCCTGTCTTTCACGTTTCGGTGAAACAGTTTGTTCCTCAGCTCTTTCAGGAATAGTTGATAAGGCACGACAATCTGCAATAAACATTGAAATTATAGATATTTCATTAATAAAAACGTAAATAAAAGACTAAAGGTGTTTTCTAACCTCTTCTTATGAACCATTTCGCTGCCCCAAAAACCTCACTCGAAGACCATCTAATAGCTAATGCCATTGCAAAGGTAGGTCTTGATATCAACAATTTTGTTATATCAAGGGTTTAAATCAATTTTTTATTAATAAAAATAAAACATTCCTCCTGCAGTCCTTCTCTTGTAAGATTTGACTTTGACAGAAACGTTTCATTCATTATGTTTATTGAACTTATTCTATCTGGAGAAATAAGCTCCTTTCAATTAGTTTTTAGCAAAATATAAAAGCAGTATAATTTATTTAAATAATTTTCAGTCATGAATTCTAATTTAATCTAAAATCTATAGTGTTCATTCTATTTGATATACATTGAATATTAATGGAATGCCTAGCATTTCTGAGCGTAGAGAAACGTGTCAAACTGTTTATGAAGCTAGCTTCAATAAAAATACCTGTAAAATAGTTGTTTGAAAATGGTTAGTTTACATCCTTACACCACTGTCTTGCAGTTTCAATCAATCATTTTTATATTTAAAATATATAATTGCTTTAATTAGGTATATATTAACGTGTTTTATGAATAAGCAATCATTTACATTGACATCGTTTTGCGTGTGAGGTGCCTCATAAACCCACCCACAATGTCATGTCAAAACAAATGGAAACGTCACTTCAAACAAAACGAAAAATCGATCGATATTCGCCCTATTTTCTATGAGTTTATTAATTTAAAACAGCCGGCTAATCAAATATTAACGATCAACCATGCAGAAGTGTAATGATGATAATATACCTTTAGCAGATGACGACCCACAAGTGATAATTAACGATGAAATAGAAAACAATCATTTAGATCATGGTCGTTCAATGGACTCATTGCCGAGTTCCTATACTGGTGGTTCCTCAAGCCCTGGCCTTAATGGGCCACCTAGTTTCGAGCCAGATTCCGGAATTGATGAACAGGAAGAAAAGGCCCGCCTTATATCACAAGTGTTGGAATTGCAGAATACTCTAGATGGTAAGATTTTTATTAATCATCTCTGTAATTTAATTGGTTTAGCATATGAAGTTATGACACATAGTCCTTATATTATTTGAATCACTTGCAAATTTGTATAGTAAACGATAAAATACTAGCACAGTTTTAATTTCATTTATAAACTTTTGTCTGAAAATAAAACTATTACTAGGTACACATACTTAATTTCTACAATGGAAAGAAGTGGAAAATGTAAATTGATAGATGGGAGGTTGAAAGTTGCTTGGCAATAATCTGGTGTCACCTGACACGCATAATGTGTATAATGTTACTATCTGCTATAACTAATGCAACACATAATAGTGGAATGCTTCCGAAACGCTGGCAAACAGAAACAGTTTATAAAATTTGAATTGATTTTGTTTTTGTGCTATTCATGCAACATCAGCCTTGAGCAATTGATTCCAACTATTGTTACATTAAAGAAACATTTAATTCCTTATTTTAAGAAAATTAAACTCGTTTTTTTACTCTCACCTGTCTGCGTTTTTCGGAAGCATTCCGTTTGCATTGCATTAAAACATTGAGTTATCCTAACTTGAATGAAAACAATAATACTATGTTTGTTACAAGTAACAAAATTCATATTTCCTTTTTCAGATCTGTCACAGAGGGTGGATTCCGTAAAAGAAGAAAATTTGAAACTTCGCTCAGAGAACCAAGTCTTAGGGCAGTACATTGAGAACTTAATGTCGGCATCATCAGTTTTCCAATCCACCACACCTAATATTGGCAAGAAGTAAAATTATTTAAGTTTTTGAGGGACATGACCACACTATCATTCAGAGCTGGCAACACTGTGGAAACACTGCAAATGCTTTGTGGCAACACTGAAAGCTGGGGAAACTTTTTAATCTGTGTAAGGCTGAAAGTCCTAGAACCTTTATAACCAATCCAAAATTAATTACTTGTGAATTTCTTCAGAAAATCTTCTTGAATGGTGAAAACAGTTAACAATTAATAACTTTCTAGAATCTCAACCATAATGGTAAACTTTGCTTTTGTCGAATTGTATAAAATTGGGTGCAAGAATTGTTTAAAATGCCGTGCATTTAAAATTAGTAAAGACTTTCAGCCTTGATAAAAATTATTTGAATATAAAACTTATGCATTAGTCATAAGTAGTCTAGTGAGGCACTGATGAGTAGAAAGTATATTGTTCGATGTAAATAAGGTATGAATATCTACTAGACTACTTTCATTTTGAATGCAAAAGAGGTTTTATATCAATTTCAAAGACTCAATGCACTGCCTTTTGGGCTGTCAAACTGACAGCAAGGAGTTTGTGTTGTAAAGAGGCTTAGCTTCAGAAGCAATGCTATTATTGTGTAATTTATGTTAGCACTTCTTATTGATAATGTAAATGTATAAGTACTTGCAAAAATATGTATGAAATTAAACCCTTAATTTTGCAAGTAATTGTATTAATGTAAAATAGGTGTAAGATTTTCAAACATGCTAACTTTGGAAATTAAATTAATCACTATGTAATCATTCAACCATAAGGTTGAATTTCACTTGCACATCTCTTGAAAACAAGGTCTTATTTTGCTTACCAATATGTGACATTTTTATTTATTGAGATTTACTATAATTTTTATAAATGTAATTCAAATGAATGTTATTATTTTATTTTTGTTGTGATGTCATAAATAGCCAGGTATAGACATTCCATTTCATATTTTTTATAATAAAGTTATATTTCATCATGCTCTCTATCATCTATCATTCAAAAAATATTATTGTAAAACCTGCCTTATTATAATTAATGATAATGATTTTAATAAATTGTTTTAATTTTAAGCTTATGAGTATTATAATTTGTAATTAACATTTATTGTTTTTTATTTTTCCTGAGATGTTTTACGCATTTCACGCCGTGTCGGACAACGATGTCTGACGGTAGCGGAGGACATGGGCGTAGCCACACTGGGGCAAGCTGGGGCACTTGCCCCACCCTGGGCCCTGGCTCTGACCCATAAGGTGTCGGATTAAACAATGTTTTTTTTACTAACTCTAACTAACAACATCAATATAACTATTACTATCCGTAATCGCGAGATCCTACTGAGACAGTCTAGCCAAATTTAAGAGATTAACAAGTTTGAGATTAACGGCTCAAGGTACAAAAAATCGGAGGGCCACCGCCCCCGGGGGATTTTTTTTAAGGGGGGAAAATCATCGAATGACTGCTCCCGCCTGTGTGAGACGGGAGGGAGTGTCAGACTCTTACTGACTAAAAACC